TTTTTTTTTTTTTTTTTTGCACACACCGTTCGAAACAATAATATTATGAATCACGATGAGTGCGGCATGCATCGGCCCTGCCTGTCAGCCAATCCACGCCCTACAAGTATGGGAAACTACACCTACAAGTATGGGAAACTACACAACAGCAGGAGGATGGAGGTGTCGGATTATATTCTCATGTGGGAATCCTTATAAGTAGTAGCCCATTCTCGCAAAAACGTCAAACTTTTCGACATCAAAAGTATTGACAGTTTGACGTTCTCTCTACTCGCTCAATATAATTATACTGAGCGCCATTAAAAACGCAACGTTTTCAAAAAGTTATAATATAGCCAAATATGCTCTAATCGTCACGATTTTTGGAGACACATGTGAGAAGTTTTTAATCCATACACTCAAACACGATTTTTGCTATTTCCATGAGTACTTATCACCACAATACAGTAAACTATGCTTTTTTAATTAAAATGTGTTCATTAGTTGCTGTATTATAAACGAATACAAAATTTTTTACCTGGAAGATGACCCGTAACTCTTTCCAAACAAAAGTCCTAGCATTTTTTCGATCATTAAAAAAAAATTCTTTCATAAAAAGACTCCTCAACTCAGCGAGGCCGATCACAACTTTCGCTTCCGCCTTGTTCATGGCAGGAAATCTGCCTGAGAAGCAGCAATATGGCTAAAATCATCAAAATGCAGTTTTTTCATCAGTGTGAGGCGCGGAGCAGAAAGTCTAGGACTTAGATCAAGAACACCTTATTTAGGACCTCAATTAACGAAGTCGCGACAATAGCGCCTGCTTCACGATGCGAAACAGCACAAAGAAAAAAATAGAATCTCCCGGTCATTCAACTCGACACTCCTGCCCTTACACTGCCCATATATAACGAACAACACAGTTTCTGGAAGATCATAACATGAATGTCATGGACTGGCCAGTGTACGTACCCGACATGTCTCCAACAGCGCACATATGGGGTGAACTGAACCGCAAAGTGTATGCTGTTTTGCGAATCTGCAGCTATTGGGAGATACCGCTGCCGCGAAAGTTTGACTGACAGAATTTCTCAATAAAACATTGAAATTGTTATAAAATACACGTGAAGAAGTGTTTTTGTCTGTTTTAAATGATAACTGTTAATAATAGCCTTGAAATTTACTAAGGGTGAGAGATCTTTATTGAGTTGCAAATTTGCATTTAGGGAGTTCATGTACTCCGAAAGAAGAAGGACAATGTATCGAAATCAATTTAAGTGTGTGATAAAAATGGTTCACATTTATTGGAAATTGAATATACTTCTAAAAACACTTCTTCTAATGTAAATTCATTTGATATAAACGTGTTCAGTCTCTGCGAACGAAATGTTGCATTTTTAATGGTGTTCAGTATAATATATTGGACAATGATCAGTTTGGGCCAAGACCTCGCCATGGGCAATGTTGGCTCTTGCTTTAGTCTTCAGGGTAAAAAACACGAAAAAGAAGCGAAAGTGGAGAAAAAAGTGATTTCTGCAGCGTTGGGAGTGTTGACCTTTTTCAGTTCCTTTCTAAAATTCGTTTCGTATTGAGTTGATTTTCTCCTTCAGCTCATCTTTCGTCCCTTCCGAAAACCATTCGCGATATTTGTCAAGAAGAGTCTGACGTGCATCATTAAAAAAATTCTATCAGAATAATCATTCCTTTTCACTTTCCAAAGCGCGGGTAAACTCCGAAAATTACATCTTTCAGCTGAAGAAGAATTTTAAAAATCCTCCTTAGATGGCGCAATGTTGATATTTTCTACCACGCATCAAATAACAAAATGAAGTTTGCGCAAAATATTGATGGGATTACCACACACGCACAAATGATTTGTTTTCCCTGAAAAATATCTTTAAAAAAAATATACCAAAAATTTTGATATCAATACTTAATGGCATCAATATCAGCCATACACGATCAAAAAATGGTGAAATAATTTGACGTAAAAATTTTGAAGGGCAATTTCGGCTTATCTATTAATTTTCACAATATTATTTGTAAAAGTCAGTAATAAATTAAGAAGTGATGATTTTTAATTCTTAAGTTGCAAATAGACACCTATATGTATAATGTTTAACTAACTGAAAGAGAGAGAGAGAGAGAGAGAGAGAGAGAGAGAGAGAGAAAGAGAGAGAGAGAGATAGAGAGATGGGGAGGGGAGAGGGAGGGAGGGTGGGAGGAACGGGCTGGCGAGCGGGCGGACGGACGGACGGACGTACGGA